TGTGCTGGGAGCTGTGTTGAGCAGTGTACAGATATTAGGTAATCCTCTGTTAGATTCTACGAAGTCTGTTTACCAAGAAAGGGCCCCACGCTCCGGGAGGAGACTGCTGTTACGTAGGACCGAGCTGCCTTGCTCCTGATCACCCACTACCTGCCCCCCGATCCAGAGTAATGTGCAGACAACCGTTTCACTATCTACAGGCACACCGCAGGGTATAAAGGTAAGTAGTTCATACATGCATAGGTTCATTCCAAACGAAATATGTTTACACATGTCTCTGTCCTCAGTGGCTGGATGCAGACAATTTCTCCCAGGAATATGTACACTTATCTCAAGTTTTTGTTTGTTTGTTAACAAACCAGACTTGGAACTTGCACTTAATTCTAGCCCCAGTCTAAGCACAATTACCGTATATACTCATGTATAAGCTCAGTTTTTCAGCACATTTTTCATGTAGTTTTTGTGGTAAAATTAGTTGCCTTGGCTGATATTTGGGTAGGCTTATACTCGAGTGTATGGGGTAGTTCTTATGACATGGCCCTGCTTGATGTTCTCCCTCAGGAAGAGATCACTCCAGAAAGGTATGGGTGCTGCAGCAAAGTGTGGTGAAGAAGCTAGATGGTGCCCGACTATCTGAAGGAAAAGCATCTGGGGTCATCTTCAAACCAGCAATCAGCTACAGGAAGTGTCAACTAAGTCCACATGGAAGAACACCAGCCTGTGTGATCTACGGACTGTGAATAATAAAGTCCAAATCTGAAGGAGGGAATGGTATCAGAGCTTAAATTGTCAATGCCTGGTTTGCAGAAGGCTATCGATGACAGTGGAAGCCCAAAATCCATTTGCAGGGTCCACACATGGATTAAGCTACCAGTGAATCTCCTCTGACCAAGGTTGAGGGACGCGAACAGCCTTGTTATCAGACGGCATGGAAAAGTAATTTATGGCAGATGTAGCTAGGTCAAAATGTAATATCTTATCATTTGATCTCCCTTTTGACCCTTTTTTTTTTTTATGAACTCCAGAATAGGCAAATCTGTGGAGTCAGTAACTGGATGACTGGATGGCAGGGGAGGATGGGAGGACATGGGTGGCTAACAACAGTGAGTACAAGAGCGGGTGAAAGGTCGGACAGTTCACTGCAAGGTGAAGCTAGAACCTAGCAGCCGCTTTTCAGGAGACAGCGGGGATGTCCTGCTCCTGTAAAGACGCGGCCTTGGGAACGCTAGGGAGCGGTGTTCCCTCTGTGCTACAGGGTCTCTGCCATCAGAACTGACGGGAATGTAAGGGATTTGGGTTTATTTTTCAGTTTTGTCTTGCAGGTTGGGTTCCAGACTGTTGCCATAAAGCAAGTATCGCTCTGCACTGTCCTGGTGGCGCACTGGTTCCGCGTCAGGCTGCTGATGCCAAGGCCAGCAGCTCAAAACCACCAGCTGCTCCGTGGGAGAGAGATGGGCTTGCCACTCGCGTAAAGAGGTACACTCTTCGACACCCACAGGGGCGGCGCTACACCCTCTTACAGGAGCTGTGAGTCAGAGTCAACTCGATGGCAGTGGGTTTGGTTTGATTTGCTATGCAGCGTGCAACCCCATGTGACAAAGTTCAAACTTTCGTGAGGATCACCAAAATGTGACACAGAGACTCAAGGTGAGTGAGTATTGGAAAAATGGTGTTGGGAGGCTTGGCTCAATGCAGGGTTGTCAACAAGCCTTCAATTTGTAAAAAACAAACAAACACAAACAAACCGCAATCCTTCCAAAACACAGTAAAGCACCGTATACCTGTACGAAATGTCAGGGTAATGAACGATGTCAATGGTCCGAGAAGTGTCGGGACTCTGACTAGCTGTTCCAAAGACTCATCCCCATATTTACTGTGTACCTGCTGTGGCGTAGTGGTTGTGCTGGGCTGGTAACCTCTATGTTAACAGCTTGAAACCACTAGGTACTCTTGACTCCCATGCAGAGTTTCCGTCTCAGAAACCCGCAGGGGCAGTTCTAGCTTGTCCTATAGAGTCACTATGAGTCAGCAGCAAGTCAGTGGCAGGGAGTTATTTGAGTCAATTGCTGTGCCAGGCACTAGTTTAGACCAGGGGTACAAAGCAGTGACACTGTACAAAAACTGCCCTAAGCTACCTGAGGCTCTAGATGTGTGTGTGTGTGTGTGTGTGTGTGTGTGTGTGTGTATGTGTGTGTAGGGGGTGCAGGTCAGGGGAGGTTGGGAGAAAGAGAGAGAAGGAAAGAGCCTGTGGGGAGGAAGAGGGCCAGAGAATTAAAAAGAAAAAATGATGTCAGAAGCAACCATTGACATAGAGAGCAATAAGGCTGGGTCTTGTGTGCTGGGCAGGGGTGGGCAGGTGGCATCAAGGCTTGGCTCAGGATCAGGAAGCACTCCCCTGAGAAGCTGAGGTCTGAGCTGGGCTGGGAAGTAAAGGGGGAGTCAGGTAGCCTTCCCAAAGGTATTTCAGGCAGAAGATGAAGCAAGTGCAGAGGGCCTGAGTTAAGCACATCCCCTGAGGAAGAGCAGGAGGCCTGTGTGGCAGGCACCTAAGGAATGCAAAGAAGGGGGCGGTGGGGGACAGGTGAGATCCCCAAACACATGAGAATGCCCGGCTCTGCATAGCGCCACGTCTGCTTAATATTGAGAGCAACCATTTACTGCGTGCTCCCCACACGCCTGGCACTCTGCTGATGCAGAGAAAGCAACAGACAAGGCTCCCTTAGGGTCTGCAGGGAGACCAAGGGCCCCACAGGGCCATGCGACAGATGCTGTAAGAAGGGGCGCAGCTGACCTGGACTAGGGCCTGCCTTAGTTATCCACGGCTGCTCTCACAGCAAGACCACAGGAGGATGGCATTAACAAACAGAAATTTAGTTTCTCACAGTTGAGGAGGTTAGACGTCCAAAGTCAGGGTGCTGGCTCTGGAGGGCAGCCCTTGTCTCTTTGGCTTGTTTTCTGGTCCCTTGGAGATCTCCAAGTGACTAGGCAGCCCTGCTCCCCTATCTCTATTTGCTAGCTTGAGTTTAACATCTCCTATCTCCAAAGCATCTTTTTACCTAACGTGTTGCATTAGGTAAACCTTCCGCACAAGAGCCCGGTAGCGTGTTGAAAAACAAGGGTGCTACATTGAGGACTAAGGTGCACCTGACTTGAGCCATGGTCCTTTCAATGGCATCAGATGAAAGCTGGACACTGTGTTTGAGCTCATTGTTGTCCCCACTGTGTCCAGGTCTGCAAGAGAAAGGGGAAGAAAGGATGCTCGAGGAACGCTGTCTAAATTGGAGAAGAGTGGCCGTTCTCAGATGGGAGGGGGGTGTGTAGAGTCCAAATGGGTCCACGAGGAGGAATCCAGAGGAACCCCTCAGTGTAAGGTGGCGGTGGTTGCGGGGTGCCCTCAGGCCCATTCAAAAGCACACCAACTCGATGCTTCCCACACTAGCCCTGGGCTGTCTTCTTAATCACTGACACCTGTGAGCTCACTGTGGAAGCCATGGGCTCGATCGATCGAGCGACTTAAAGGTCTTCCTTGTTATCACAGGCCCTCTGCGATGTCTTTCTCCAGGGACTGGTCCCTCCTGATAAGATGCCCCCAAGTGCGTAAGGTGAAATCCCACCAGCCTGGCTTCTAAGGAGCATCTGACCTGTTCTCCTTCCAAGACAGACTTGGCAGTGTCGGTCTCCAGCACCCTAATCCAAAGGCATGGATTCTTCTTTGACTGTCCTTAGGCCCTGGCCAGCCTTGGCACTGCAAACACCGTGGCTTGGGTCAGGCGTACCTCAGTTCTCAAGGGGACATCTGAGAAGGTCAGAAGGCAGAGCTAACTGGCCTCGGCCACCTGCAGCAGACCTTGGTCTCTCATTTCACCCAGGTGGCCCAGCCCCTTCTGTCAGGCCGAATCCCCCCAATCCTCAGCTCCGGGCCCCTGGAGCTGCCTGAATCACCCTGGTAGGATCGTCCCCAGTCAACAAAAACCACAACTCCCAAACTTCAAAGTGCTTCCACCACCACAGCGGAGGTGTCTAATCACTGGCCTTGGGTGGCCAGGGCTATGCTGCCCCCGTCCTATGCAGCACAGGGAGGGGAGGGCCCTATGGGGGACAGGTGGCCTAGGCAGGGAGCAGCTGGGACTTGAGCACAGCTCTTATGATCGGAGACCCCACAGTGACACGGCACCGGTTTCAGACAACAGGGTCTGGTGGCAGCTGAGTGCCGAGGACAAAACTAGGGAAAGAAGTGACAGAGGCATAAGACAGGGAGGGAGTGGCGATGGGGAGAGGGAGGCAGGGGTGATGGAGGCTGAGAGAAGAGGCAGAAACGGAGAGAGGGCAGAGGAGGAGGGTGCAGAGCCCGTGAGAGTCGAGGACTCTTGGGAAAGACCTGATTAAAGCCTGGGAGAGAAAGAAAGGAAGGTCCCCCTACCATACCGGGCCTCTGTGTCTGTGTCACAAAGTAAGGGGGGGAGGAAAGGGGTCCTACTGTGCCTATTTCACAGGTGAGAACACCGCGTGCCCAGGGGCCCACAGGAATTCCGAGCCCTGTTAGGAGCCGAGGAGGGTAGACAGACTCCAGCCTTTCCCCACTGAAATACAGGTGAGGGAACAGAGAAACCAGCATCCCACCGAGGAAGGGGCAGGCGCAGTGATGGAGGCACCAAGGGAGCCCGTCAGCGGCCAGGCCTGCGGAGGGAGAAGGCCTGGCACTGTCTCAGTTCCCCAGCTCGCAGCCTCAGCTGGTCGGGTGTCACCGAGTCGCCCACGCCTCCGCCCGCCCCAGCGGACCCATCCACTTGGGCGGCTGCGCAACTCCGTCCTCCGAAGCCCCTGGAGATGGGGAAGATCAGAGGTGGGGGGAGGGGCGGGGGATGTGCGCGTGCGGCTCCTCCCTCCGGGGACTCTCACATCCGCAGCATCCTCCGCGCATCCTCCAGACCCGCCCCCCCGCGCCCCCCCCCAACCCCGCGCCCTGATGGTACGCTCCGCCCGCCCGCCTGGCCCGGCTGCAGTGGATGTTGCTAGAACCCACGCGGAGGACAGGAGAGACACAGGCAGGCTGTGGTCACTCAAGCGGCCGCCCCTGCCTCAGGGACCCTTTCCCCGAGAGACGGCATCATGACCCAGGGAAAGGTACGGGCATCTCCCCTGTCTGTACCATTCTTCGTCTGCCACCCTCGGGCTCCCTGCCTCCCTGTCATCCTGAGCAGTGCTCTGGACCACTCTGAGCATCCTTCCCTGGCTTTGAGCCCATAGCACTCTGTGGTCCTTGTTGAAGTCAGGGGGCCCAAGGGGCCATTGCATGGAAGGGGCCAGGACCTCTTTCCACCCACTAGGCTCCTCTCTTCTTCAGGCCCTCCCCTATCTTCCTCTGACCTCATGCTTTGCCGTGTGTGTGTGTGTGTGTGTGTGTGTGTGTGTGTGTGTGTGTACTGGGGGAGCCACAAGGGGCAGTGCCAGCAGGCCTGGCCCCTCTTGGGTTCAGCCCTCCAATCCCAAACCCAGTTGCTTCATGTTCATCTTTCCCACCCTCCACAAAAACACTCCTCATGCAACCCAGGTCCTCTTAGTATCCCACCTCAGGACACATCCTCTATGGATGGGGGGGTTACCATGGCAACCTTGCATAAGGATGCTCTCATTTTTGTTTTGTTTGGGGCTGGGCCACTGGGCTGACTGAGACAGGCAAGCATCTCTTTTCCCCGTTATAGGCCTGAATTGTCCAGGAGGCTGGCCTGGGTACTTGGCTGGCCTAATAGGGTTATGTAACGTCAACAGCCTGTTGAATTACACAACCACCAGGGCCCGGGGCAAAGAAGGAGGGTCCTCTGGACCTCCGTTTGGGGTGTCAAGGATTGGGCAGAGGAACCCCAATCAACCCCCCTTCTGGTCTCCAGATAAACCTCTGAGCCAATGGCATCTTCGCGGGGTCCCCAGACCCCCCTCTCCCTGCTTTTCAGCTCAGCAGACTTCAAAATGATGTCACTGGGTGATGCCACTCTTGCTATTGGTCAGGCCTCACTGGGGAAGGCCAGATGGGGAGAGGGGCAGGGCCCTGGGGACTCTGAGTGCCTGATGGGGAGGGGGAGGGGGAATGTCGGGCTGGTAAGGAGGGCTGGCTCTGGACAGCCTGGATTGGAAACAAGGATCCTTTTTCCCAGAGCTCCGTCTAGGGGCTGTGCCCCAAAAGCCTCCTGATGGGCCTGGGTCCTGTGGGCCAGGACTGATTGTCCCGGCAGGGCTTCTGTGGTCTGGGTGATGAAAGGGGCTGGAGATGGGAAGGAAGCTGAGGCGCCAGGGCTTCATTCCCCCAGCCTTGGGCTCTGGGTCCAGTCCCCTAGAGGGCCTGAGGAGTGCTCACTGTGGGGGAAATGAAGATATTCATCCATAGTCCCGTCTCTCCACCCTCCCTGACAGCCCCCGCCCCCTGTCACTTTACTGCTGCAGCTGATGTCTGGGTGAGTGTATTCCCCGTGGCCTGACCCAGCTCACAGGCTCTCTCTAGTTCAGTGGGTCCAAGGCTGAGTGGCCACCAGAGGCCTGGTCCTTTGCTGCATCTGGGCTCCTTCAGAATGGCCCCTTGCCCCCTTGTCAAAGGCCTCTGGGGTTTAAGGTGTTCTTTTGAGAACGGGACCTAAGCCCCCTGTCAGGGTCTGACCTTTCCTTGCTGTTTCTCCTTTTGTACCACCCACTCACCCCCACCTTCATTCTCTGTCTGTTCCATTCAGGCCCTCGACACTCATAGCCTCTCACCCAAACTGAAGGGGGGAGGTGGGGGGCGTGTACAGAAGTGAGCACAGCAGACCTGAGGGTGACAGCCGTTCATTGGCATCTCTCCCTCTGGCCTTCGGTTTCCTCCTTGGTGAAATGAAGGACTAGACCTTCTGCCATCCCCTCCGGCAGTGGCATGCTGTGATTTGGTTCTGGTTTGGGGAGAGGCTGAGGTTTGGGTCCAGGGGACCTCTTGCTTATCCTCCACTCCACTGCCCTCATTCCTCTTCCACTTTTCTCTCTCGTCACCCTCCCCGGCCCCCACCAACTTTCAGCTCCCAGCTCACACCCTTCCTAGCCCCCCAGTGTTATCTTCAGCCCAGGCAGAAGAGGCCAGCCCCAGGGGCAGGTGCTCAGGCTTTGCAACCCAGGAGACCACCTACAGGGCTTGTTGCTCCTGGAGGAGCCATTCCTCGCCCAGCTGGCGTGTGACTAATTGCCCACCTGAAACGCTGCTGCCTTTGCCCCGAGACCAGAAGAACTGGATGGTGCCCGACTACTGTTAGGGAACATCCCAATCAAAGAGCCTGTGGGATAATCCTGGTCAGAAGAGGTGGATTGGGCAGAACAGCATTTAAAAGGCTCATGGAGTCCATACCTTCTGGAGGACTGAGGTGATCATCCATAAACCCTAATCCCAAAGTATTCCCTCCATCTCTTAAAATGAAACAGTCGTTTATCTTCACGCGTGAAGGTGGTCTGCTGTGAGCGTTTTATTCTTTTAAGGACCACCTATGTGGGTTCAGGGAGGAGCCCTGGGGGCATAGGGTTGTGCATTGGCTGCGAATCGCCAGGTCAGCCAATCGAAACCACCAGCCACTTGAACAGCAGTGGTGGACTAGAGTACAGCAGAGAGGCGAGAGAGGGCAAATACAACATCCTGGTAGAGAAGAGAAGCCCGGGGTCCGTCGTGGTTCTGAGTTGGACTGCTAACTGCCAAGATTGCAGTTGGAAACCACCAGCCGTTCGAAAGAAAGAAAGATAGGGCTTTCTACTTCTGTAAAGAGCCCCAGTCCCAGACACCCACAGGGGCAGTTCTGCCTGGCAGGGGCGCTCAAAGTCAGCACGGCTCGATGGCAGTGACCGGTCCGTCTGCTCTTTGCTTTTACGGAGGATCAAACCACCAGCAGCAACTGGGAAGATGAAAGAAATCTCTGGAGGGCAGCGAGCTTACGCCAAAGGGGTGGGTGGGTGGGGGGGATGACTCAGAAAAGAAGGGTGAGAAGGCTGCCCGCCTCGAAAATGCCATCATGTCATTGAAGCCTTTCCGCTATTCTAACTGCAGACCGGGTCTGTTTACTGTGCACATTCTCAACAACAAACTAACTGCATGTTTCAAAAACCAGGAGTCAAAAGATGACCAGTAGCCGCAGATGAAATGAGAGCATCTTCCATTCGATGACTATTTCGAGGGTCTACTAGGTGCCCAGCCCTTCCCTGGGAAACAGCAGAACCCAACAGGCCGGCTCCCTGCGCTCCCCCTAACCTTCCAGGGGTAGTGACCACCGGGGGGTGGTGAGCTCTGCTGAGAATGTCCTCCCTCCTCAGTTGTACTGTGTGTGCTAGCCAGCTCCTGGGGCTCAGTTCCTTCCTCTGTGAGATGGGGGTTCCTGTCTGCACCCCTTTCTCCTAGTGCACTCAGAAGGATCCAGGAAAGTCGTGGGCATTGAGGGGCGGGGAGAAGGCCTTAGGAAGGCTCTCTTCCCCTGGTGACTATCTCTCTCCTCCATTCCACAGCTCTCCGTGGCTACCAAGGCCCCCGGGACCGAGGGGGGGCAGCAGGCGAATGGAGAGAAGAAGGAGGCCCCAGCAGTGCCCTCAGCCCCGCCATCCTATGAAGAGGCCACCTCTGGGGAGGGGCTGAAGGCAGGAGCCTTCCCCCCGGCCCCCGTGGCTGTGCCTCTCCACCCCAGCTGGGCCTATGTGGACCCCAGTAAGTCTCACGGTCAAGGCAAGGGGAGGGTTCTGGTGGGAAAGCTGGGCAGGAGGAAGTTTCCCGAGAGGAGAGGCATGCTGCGCTGGTGTTTGCATTCTGGTCGCAGACTCGGGGTACGGAGGACTCTTCTGAGGGCAGCCGGAGAAGACATCCATGAAGGGGGGGCAGTGGCCGCGGTCAGCGTGTGCCCTCCGACGAGGAAGGGAGCACGTCTCCAAGTCACGGCGCAAGGGCAAGAGGAGGAGTTGGAGGGGGCAGAAAACCAGGGCCCTGCAAAGACCCCTCCCACAAGAAACAGAGGCAGAGAAAGATGGGGCAGGGTGCACAGTAGACCAAGGAGCGGGCAGGAGGAGAGGGTAGCTGGCCCCAGCTTTGGCAGGGACTGGCTCCCATCCCACAGGCCCTCTCTGGGAAAGGATGTGTCCAATGTACACACCTGCTGGTCTGACATCTCGGGACAGTACGGTCCCTCTGGAGACCCTGGGATGGCTGAGGGCCAGGGAACTGGGAATGTATTTCATGGGCCATTTTCCTGGTCTCTTCCCTTCCCCGAGCCTTTGTGGGGGGCAGGAAGGCAAGACAAGAGGGCAGTGTGTGGACACCAGCTGGGAGGCTCAAGGCAGACAGCTCTGGCTGGGGCTTCTTGCACACCAAGAACCCCAGTGGGTGGGAAGCTCTTGGGTTGAGTTAAGCTGCCCTTGAGGAGGGCTGGGAACATACAGTTCCCCTACAGCTTCTCCCACCCTCCCAGCCTCTCTCAGCAGCCCCAGCCCCGGCATCATCCTCCGCATCATCCAGGCCCCACCCCCACCCACTGCAAGGTTCTAGAAGGTGGCCCAGGGACAATGCCTCACACCGAGGAGCCTCTGCTCACAGGAACTGGCCACCATGGTCCACAAACCTCATCGGTCTGGCGCCTCTCCCCACCCCGCCGTTCCCTACCGGATGATGAGGCCAGGTCTGGGATGGACAGGGGCCCTCCTCACTCCGCCACCCAGCCCACAGGCCGGCCCTTTTCTCCCCTTTCACAGCCTGGCCATGGGGGGCTTTGGGCAGGGAGGAAGCAGACAGAACAGGAAGGGGGAGCGGGTGGGCTCGATGGATAAAAAGGGTGAGGTCTCTAGACCCCAAGCTTGTTCTGGGTACCCCTTCCTCACTTCCCGAATCTTGGCGGCCTGCAGGAATGTTTTCTGAGGAACTTTAGGGACAGGAAGGATGCTCACTTCAGTCTGACATTGAGCTAGCATCTGAGGATGCTTGGAGTTGTGTCCTGAAATAGGAGCCCTGGTGGCATAGGGGTTACTTCTTGGGCTGCGATCCAAGTGGTCGGCAGTTCGAAACCACCAGCAGTTAGAGAGTTGTCCTTATGAGTCAGTGGGAGAGCTGTCATTTCTACCTCTCAGAGCTGACCGTGTGGGCTGGACACGCCGGGAGAGGCCTGGCAGCCTGCTTCACCTTGCTTATCAGGGCAGGCTCCTAGAGGAGGGGGCGACCGGGCTGAGTCCTGTCTGCAGCATAGTGAGAGTTACTAGCTGAATGAAGAGGCAGTGAGTATCCAAGGCGGAAAGAACTGGATCCCAGAGGCAAGAGAGCCAGCGGCTAAAAAAAAATCGACTCCAGTTGGAAGAAATGGGAGGGTGGGAGGAGCACAGGGCCTGTGGGCTCTGTTCACGGGGGGCCAGAGAGCTGTGGCAAAGAATTAGAAGCAGACTGAAGTGAGGAACCATCCAAAAGCTCCTAACAGGGCAGAGTGGGGTCGGCTTTGCTTGTCTCAAAAGACTCAGAGGGGAGGAAGCTCTTGCTGGGAGAGGAGGAAGAATGTGGGGGGATGGCAGAGGGGAGGGCAGAGTGGGCATTTCAGACGGCTTGGGAAGGCATCCTCCCATCAGGCACAGAGCTGTGGCTCTCACTGGTCCCCTGGTTAGTCCTCAGGACGTGGGTTTCACTGACCATCTCATAGAAGAGGGTTTTAGAGAAGGTAGGTGACTTGCTTAAGGTCACTCGGTCAGTAAATCCACACTGGGGTCTGTCTGGATCCTGAGTCCTGGGACCTGAGTCTTCATCCCGCCCACCTTCCCATTTCTTATCCTTGCCCTTGTTTTGGCTTTATTCCCCCTAACCCCCTCACTTCCCAGGTTTCCCCCAAAGTCCTGGTTCCCAGCAGGAACACCAGAAGATTTACCTCCTGCCCACATTCCCAAGTCCAGCTGGTCCCCAGTTCCTGAGGGCACCAGGGCTGGCTGTGATGTGTTAGGTGACCCAAGGTGGACAGATGTCCCTCTCTGTTCCTTGATGCCCACTGTGGAGGGTCCAGAGTGGTGGGCTGGGGAAGCAGACCGAAGAGAGCCCCAGTCAAGGACTGGAGATAGTCCAGAGAGCCAGTTGGAACTCTGAGCAGGTAGACCCTTGGGGTAGTTTTTATGTGCCCTTCCCCTTGACCACCCTAGGCAGCTCTAGCTACTACGAGGGCGGGTTCTCCGGCGGCCTGGAGCGCTTCACTACCTTCAGTTGGGATGACCAGCGAGTCCGCCGCGTCTTCATCAGAAAGGTAGCCGCCTCTCCATCCCTGGGACGGTGGGCCCAGCGGCACCCAGCTCCCTTCCTGTGGCATCCCCCTGACAGCACCCACCCAGGAGCTGCCTCCCCTAGTGCTCACCCAGCACCCCGTGCCGTGGGTGGCCTGAGCACGTGGTGGCTCTCCTTCCTGGAAGAGCCCCTTTCTGTGGGGTGGGCTGGAAGAGGGTCCTTTCTCCCCTTCCCACCCCCACCCTTGGCTCCATTGCAGCCACCCAGAGAGGGGGGGCGCGGTGTGTCTCGGGACAGAGTCTCCTGACTGCTCAGAGCTTTGCATGCTGAGCGGAGCCCCCTTCTGCCCGCCACCAGGTCTATACCATCCTGCTGATCCAGCTGCTGCTCACCTTCAGTGTGGTGGCTCTGTTCACCTTCTGGTGAGTCAGCAGTGTGGACGGGGTGGGGGGTGGGGGGGCATGTGTGTGCTGATGTTGGTGGGGGTGGGGGGTGTAGCATTAACCGTCTCATGCAGTGTTTGCCGAAAGAAAATTGTATGGAGACACATCAGAAATTGGGCAGTGCCCCCCTCAAAGGGTCTGTCCCGCTGGCAGAGCCTCACAGAGTGAGGGTGCATGACTCGGGCCCAGTGGGTCTGTGGGGTCTCTGCTCCCAGGTCCTCCAGCCCCACACCAGCCTAGGACGGTGAACTGGGGGCCCCTGAACCCCCAGGACTACACGCTTCATCTCCAGACCTGTGAACAGTGTGGGGCAGGGCAGTTATTGAGCCCCAAAGAGACTGAGGGAGATGTCTGACTCTCTCTCTTCCTTCTCTACAGTGAACCTATCAAGCGCTATGTCCAGGCCAACCCAGGCTGGTACTGGGCATCCTAGTGAGTATGCACGGCCCCCAGATTCCTCCCAGGAACCACCAGTGGCACAAGGGGGAGCTCTGTCAAGAGACCCCCCCAAACATATGGCATTCCCCAGTCCTGTAGGGAACTGTCCTCGCTGATGCCCGATTCTGCTCCCTGCAGAGCTTGGTCAGAGGACCCTTTAGGGATGTGAAGATTTGAGGGGGGAGGGAAAAGGTGTTGCCTGGACCAGGAAGGAAGGGTGGGGCAGGAGCCTAACATTGACCCTGAGGGGAAGCGGATACTGGGTCACCTTGGCTCACACTAATGACAACGTTGCTCCTCTTATTAATATTATTGTTATTAATGCTTATTAATTACTAAGCATAATAACTATACCACTTAGGAAGCACCTAATAAGGGCTGGGCATTGCTCTATGTGCTTGGTGGAGAGCCTGCTGTCCTATCCTCTGCTTTCCTGGTACGGATTACTTCAGAAACCTGAGGCTCAGAGAGGTTGAGTCATTTGCCCAAGGTCACACAGCTGCTAGTCAGTGGTGGAGCTGAGATCTGAACCCAGGATTCAAGTTAAGGCCTGCGCTCTTAATCTCTTTGTCACTGCTTAGTTGGCTTCTTTCTGCCAGGGGCCACTGGGCTCCTATTTGCCCTGTATGCTTTAAGGACCCTGACAGATAACTTGGATGAAGAGGTTTGAAGGGGGAATGGTTCGGACCACCTGCTGTGGGGAATCCTTGGGTCCATTCTGAATAATTTCAGGCGAGAACCACCCTGGGGCTCAGAGCAGAAGGTCTCTTCCTGGCACCCACTGTGGGCACAGCCTTGTCCTGGGGCTGCTGGGGAGGAAGGGGCGGGCAAGGGAAGGCTGGAGGGAACCTTGTGGACCGGAGTGCTCAGTCCTCTCGGGATTTGGCACAGACCATGGGCCAGAAGGACATGGGACAGCGTCCCAGAGAGGGGATTGGTTTAAACAAAAGGATGGACGTGGGATGGGAATGGGAAAGCTGCATGAGGGTGTCTTGGGGATTCCAGGCGTGCAGCGGGGCTGCAGTAGTGGAGGTCATGAACACCCTGTCGAAGCTCTCTGAGGCCTGCTCCTGGAGGGGAGCTGGAGGGAAGTGGGCTGTGGTTCTGGGCCACTGGAGCCCAGAGTGGTCCCAGCATGTGCCTGCAGTCAGCGCGAACCTTTGACTGACAGAAGGCCGCCTCACCTCGCTAGGGCTCCTGGGAGGAGCTGGAGCTGGCCTGGTCAGGTTGACGGTTCATAGAACACACACTTCCACCTGGGGCCTTTCTTAGGACAGGTACCAGACAGAGGGTTGGGCAGACCTGGCAGGGAGGGGTGCTGTCTGCAGACCCCGCAGGGAGGGGCGCACCTTAGGGAACTGAGAGGCCCTGTGTTAGAAAGTTAATGAGCCCCCAGGGACAGCGAGGGGAGCCTGCCCACATGCCAGGTTGGCATGGCTCCCAGCACGTCAGCACTGGCTGGTAGCCTCAAGCACCCCATGAACTGAGGAGTGGGGTCTCCGGGCCCCTCTCCGGGCTTTCTGCGGGACAGGCTGTGGGGCCCCCGGGACCTTGAGCAGAAGGTGGTTAGGAGACAGCCCAGCCCAGGAAGTGAGCAGAGCCCCCACCCCATGTGGTGGGGCAGGCAGGGGGCGGAGAGGCCTTAGGGTAACCCTGGTCTTTGAGGTGTGTGGGAATCCCCTCAGTAGGATGCCCTGTGACCCTGGGAACTGGTGCTCTCCCTCCCCGGTCCCCTGGGGGCTCACAGCCCTGCTAGGGCCCAGCCTAACAGAGGAACACAGCGTGGCTTTCCTGCACATGAGGCCCTGCACTTGCACACTGTACATCTCTCCTCTGATCCTGAGCTAGCACCGCCCTCGGCAGACACGGTGCTTCCCTGCATTTACTTTACAAGGGAACGGAGGCTCCCGGGAATCTACTGCTTCTTCAGCAGCAGGGGCCCCAACTGGCCTTGACTGGCCCAGAGGTTTCTGCTGCGAAATGAGTGAGTGGATGCACATGCCCTTGACGGCCAGCTGCCTCCTCCCCTGGCCCAGGTCCTGGAGTAGGACAGGGTGGGGCAGGACACTTGGAAGGTGGCCTTCACCTGAGCCTCACTGCCCTCACCCCCATAGCGCTCTCGCGCTCTCTCTGTAAACAGCCTGTGGTTCCACCCCAGGCTCTGACGTGCAAGTCAGTCTCTCTCTGGTTCCATGACTCACTCTCTGTCCCCCTGGGATGACTGGCAGCTTGCTCTAGGCCCAGCCATCTCCCTCAGTGGGTTTCCACCTGATGGTCTGATCATTCCCACTGAGCCAGGCTGGGAACTGCAGGCTCCCTGCAGGGAAGGAGTGAGACAGGGAGTGAGGGGGAAAGCCAGGCTGCTGTGTGACCAGAGCTGGCAGAGGTGTGCTCCAGCCTCCCTGGGAAGCTGCCAGTGGGTCAGCCTCTAATTAGAATAACAGCTCCTGGGCCAGGCCCTTACTTGGCACCAGCTGACCCCCCAACACCAACACCTGCTAAATAGGCACCCACAGCAGACCTCCCAGCAGCCCCGTGACTTGCTGCCACCATTCCTGTTTGACACATGAGGAAACGGGCTCAACAATTAGGGTGACTTGCCCAAGGTCACCCTGGAGTGGTGGTAGAACTAGGGTTCACTGCTGCCTCGGCTGGCTGGCCTAGAGCCTTGTTCCTGGCCGGGCACCCTTGTGCCATCTTGTCCAGGTCTCCAGCCCCTCTGCCTCCCCACCACCCCCACCCCTTGGTGGCCCTTGTCTAGAGGGTTCACGAGATCTGGACCAGGGGCAAAAGGAGACCAAGGCCTTGCCCTCAGGAAGCCGTCAGCCTAGCCAGGGTGACAAGGTATTATTATTCTTATTGTCATGATTGATGAAGTGACAAGCCAGTGACTCAAGTGAGAGCCGAGGAGAGCAGGCGCCAGGGTTTCTCCCTGGGGCCTTGCAGTGGCATGGTGGAGAAGACAATTTAATTCCACTGTCCCACACAGTGTTTGGTGGGGGGCTGTCCCCCAGCACTAGATCCCAGGAGAAACACCACCTCCCTCAATCACTGTGACAATAAACAATAACAACAACCAAACTCACTGCCATCGGGCCCACCCGGACTCATTGCCACCCATAGGACACAGTGGAACTGCCCTGTGGGTTGTCGAGACTCTCTCTATGGAAGTAGAAAGCCCCATCTTTCTCCTGAGGGGCTGCTGCTGGTTTCAAACTGCTGAGCTTGTGAATCATAACCCAACGAGTAACCCCCATGTCACCAGGGCTCCTACAGTGACAACAGCCCCTCATTTTCTGAGAACCATTGATTGAAGAGACCAGAGAATGGGAATGGGTTCAGATAGTGGGATCTTGGATTTGGGGCAGAATGAGGGTGCGTGTTTGTATTGGACGGAGGTTGTGGGTAGGTGCCCAGAGCATGGTCCAAGAAGCCTTACCAGATTACCCCTTAGGAGAGCAATACTTACTGGGCCCCTGTGGCCAGGACGACACCTCTCTCCTCCCGCTACAAGTAGTGGTGACCCTTTCCAGGAGGGAGGGGGTCCTCTTGGCCTCTCTGCTCAGCTAAAGCTTCAGTTCTGCTGGTACAATCTTCCCCCCACACTCCAGGCAGCTGGTCTGTCTTGGAGACCAGAGAGGTCTCTCTGGATGCAGTCCTAACAATTAAAAACAAAATTTGACTGCAAAGGGTTGGTTATTTTGGTTTTTGCTTTGTTTATTACCAGCCAGGAGTCAGAATTCTTTCTTTTTTTTTTAACCAGGGGTCAGATATTGGGGATACAAATGATGTTGCAGGCTGGCCTCCCTCAGATGCCCCGTATGGATGGGGAGTCAGATGAGCAGGCCTGCAGGGTATGGGGGTGTGGGCCCCCCTCCAGCCCAGGCATTGATGTCTTTGGCCAGCCTGTCTACATCCTGCCTGGACAGGAGTAGCAGAGGGTGGGGGGCCCATTGAGAGAAGGGGGTGCTGTGAGGAGAGGCAGAATGGAGGGGCAGAGAGTGGTCAGAGGCAGGCTGGGGAGGGTGCAAAGCTGATGACTACAGGAATTCTAAGCAGGGGAGTGGTGCCATCAGCCTGCAGCTCGGAAGGCAGAAGGCAGGGCTGAACGCAGGGAGACGCAGTGGATTCCGGCCACAGTCTAGAACAGCAGTTCTCAACCTGTGGGTCTCGACCCCTTTGGAGGTCGAACGACCCTTTCACAGGGTCACCCAGTTCATAACTAGCATCATGGCAGTGATGAAGTAGCAACGAAAATAATGTTGTGGTTGGGGGTCACCACCACATGAGGAATTGTGTGAAAGGGTCGAGGCATGAGGAAGGTTGAGAACCACTGTCTAGACCCTTCCTAAAGTGGGAGTGAGGCGGCCGGATTTGTGTAGGAGGAGCAACAGGTCCAGGTGATTCATTGACGGGCGGGGAGAGGCAAGAGTGATACGGAGGTCTCTGGAGGCATGAGACACTTAGCCATCAGGGATGCCCACGAAGTGGAGAGTTCAGTTCCAGCCTGTTGAATTGTGTGGGGTTCTGAATAGCCAGGTCTGCCCCCACAGGCTGATGGATTTTCAGGTTTGGGGCCAGTGAGGGAAGGCTTAGGTTGGAAATCAGGATGATTCTTGAGCGCTCCCCTGGTAGAAGGAGCCGTGTGAATGAGTGATCTCCACCTCCCAGGGGGAAAAGGGGAGTGTGAAGAAAGAAGAGTCCCACCTGATGGTACTTGTAGGAACCAGGCATATTCGGATGCCCGAAGGTTAGCGGGAAGGCGTGGCCAGGTGTGTCACAGTGGAAGCCGGGAGGCAGTGGAAATGATTAGATGCCGTTTCAAAACTCACTGCCGTCCAGGAAGTTCAGGACTGACAAGTGTCAAATGGACGCAGCTGGGTCACAGTGACACGGCTAAACCAGCTCTGCTCACGAGGTCTGAGGCTGGCGCTGGGGAGCTGAGCAGCACCTGGGAGATGGGAAGAGAAAGCTGAGTGGAAGCCGGTGGAAGAGCTTTGAGCTTGCTGTGGCAGTTGAGGTCTGGGAGATGTGGCCTCAGGTGGAAAGGAGGGACCAGAGAGCACACAGCTGTGACTCATAGAAAGGGCCCCGCCTCCTCGTTTGGGCTTTTTCAGGGGCACAGTAGGCCAGGCTGTGTGGTGAGAGGGCTGAGGCTGGGAAGGACAGCAGGGCCATGCTGAGGGCCCCCTCGGGGTTGGCGACCATGCACGGGTAGTGGCCTTAATCTAGGTAGGCATGGGCGTGCCCCATCCTTGGGTCCCCAGCCCTCATCTTCCCCCTCCTCCCACCCATCTCCAGAAGACCCCCGTGAGCTCCCCCCAGCTTCCCACCAGACACCTGTCCCTACCCCAGTAATTCTGTCCCCAGACACTTTCTGCTGTCAGCAGCCCCTTGCTGAGCTTACAGTCCAGGAGGGTAACCCAACAACAAGGGAACTAAGGGGGGGCGGGGGGGCGCGATGGGCTGTGGTTCTCAGCAAGGACTGTGGAGGCAGAGCATAGTGCCTGGCTTCAGATCCCGCCTCTGCGTGTCATAGCGGTGTGACCTGGGATCAAGCGCCTGACTTCCGGAGCTTCAGCTGTTAGGTCAGGAACATACAGCCAGCCCTCCACATCTGTGGATCCACCAACAGAGGAGGGACATTATCCAAGGCGGGGTGGGGGCGGACCCAGAAAGTGGAAGTTGACTTCGCGGCAAGCCAAGCGCTATCAGTGAAGCAGCGCTGTGCGGGCAATGCTGCTAAAGCTTCTCCAGGCCCGGGATCCGGCCTCAGCCTCTTTCCAAGACAGCTTGTGTCTGAGAAACACGGCCCCGAGGAAAGCAACCAAGTGGCAAATCCCTCTCTCCGAGGTCAGCGGGCGAGTAAAGTGCTCTTTATGTAGCATGTCCGTTGCATCAGGACTCATCTGTAACCTAGCGGTGGTGTACAGCATCGTCACACAGGACCGTGCGCGTGCGTGCATGGCCTGTCTGCAGCCGCCACACGATTTCATACCAGAGACTTGAGCATCCTCCCATCTTTCGGTGTCCACGGGGGAGGGAGGCCGTGGGACCCATCCCCCATGATACGGAGGGACAACTGTCCTTCCCAGAGAAGATGAGAGAGTGAAATGGGCTCACGTTTGCCAAGCACTCGTAGCTGCCATAGAGCAGACAGTGGACAAGAGCCTTTGGTTTTATGTACTGTGCAGATGGGGTGGGGGGTTTGGGGGGGTCACTTTGGTTGGCATGGGTAAGGACAGCTTTCCCAAGGCACTCAAGGGTCACTGCTTCTAAAAGCAGGCTCCCCAACTCTTTTGGTGACCTGGCTCACCACTCCGCCCCTGTCAGGATGGCCACAGGCTTCTCCCCCACCCCCTCCACTCTGTCCACCCTTCTAGCTGCCTGGTGGGCTGGGGTGGCAGGGGGATGAACAGGGGGAGGTGGGTGGATGGCCTCGAAAGGGTCCGGCTGACGTACCCCTCCCTCCATCTTCCTCAGTGTTGTGTTCTTTATCACCTACCTGACACTGGCCTGCTGCTCTGGACCCAGGTATGACGTCAGTTTGTGGGGACATGAGCGGGATCCAGGGAGCTGTGTGCTGTGCCTCCCTGAGATGGTGTGGTCCCTCTCTGAGCCTCTGTCAGCCTCTCTTCTTGACTTGGTACCTCTCTGAGATACAGGGAGGGTAGATGGCTGAGGGGAACAGATGGAGGAGATAAGGGGGGAACAAGCAGGCACCCCATTCCTGCAGGGAGGGGAAGCCCAGCCTGCAGCCTCCTCTGAGCCCCACCTCTTGTCTTACAGGAGGTATTTTCCATGGAACCTGATTCTTCTGACCGTCTTTGTAAGTGATGGAGGGTGGGGGCAGATGCTGGAGGAGGGGCGCTTTGAGGGTTGAGAAGTTTGGGTTGGGGGGACATCCAATGTGAGGTCCTGGTGGCCAGGAGCATCCCCCCACCATCCACTTAGGCCACAAGGGAGCTCTGAGGCACAGGTAGTTAAAGTGCTCATCTGCTCACGTGAAACAGCGGGTGCTTTGAGCCCTCAGCTACTCCCCGGGAGAGAGCTCGGCTCTCTGCTCTCATCAAGGAGACAGCCTTGGGACCCAGGGGTTGGGGTGGGGGGCGGGACAGTGCTCCTCAGTCCCACTGGGCCGATGGGAATCAGAACCAGCAAGTCTGGGTTGTGTTTTTTTCTGCGAAGTTCTGCCCTCTCCTCCTTGCTGCCCCTGCACATTCCCACGCTTCATTGTGCTTCAGCATGGGCCATCCTAGAACTGTGGACAGTACTGGGGGGGGCGAGGGTGGTCTTAGGTTCGGGGAAAGAGCGGATGCCAAAGGAAGCAAGAAACACTGCTGGGCAGGCGGCCTTTGGGGTGGCTCCTCAGCCCTGCCCGATTCTGGAAGTAAATGGGTACAGGGGTGAGGGGGGCCCATGCTGGTGGGATCTACTAGGGGTGGGCACCCAGTCCTGAAGGCTGAGTTCTGGAGCATTCTGTCACCCTGCTTTCTTCTCTCAGACTCTGTCCATGGCCTACCTCACTGGGATGTTGTCCAGGTAAAGGCAGAACAGAAAGGGGGGTGGGGGCGGGGCTTAGACTAAACTGGCCACACCCTGAGGGCAACTACATCTGAACACTCCCTGGGAGCCCTGGGGTGGGGGGGTGTAGTGGGTTATGCATCCCCCATCATGTCAGTGGTTCAAAGCCAGGAGCCGCTCCTCAGGAAAAAGATGAGGCTGTCTCCTTCCATAAAGAGTTGGAAACCCAGAGGGGCAGTTCTGCCATCCATCGGGGTTGCTGTGAATCAAAATGGGCAGTGAGTTTGGTTTGGGGCTTGAGAGCATCTGGGGTCAGAGTGGTGGTGGTAGCCCACAGAGAAGAACCTGCCCGGGAGACTGGCCACTGATCAGGCAGCGAGTGCAGGGAGCAGGGAGAAAGAGAGCTGGGGCTGGGCTGGGCTGGGGGTTGGGTAGAGGCTGTGGGGTCAGGTCCTGGCAGAAGAGGACTGGTCTGTGAGGAGGACTGAGGGTGGGGTGGGGGACTGCCCAGAAGCTGACCACCGGCCTGACGGTCCTGCAGTTACTACAACACCAAGTCTGTGCTGCTCTGCCTGGGCATCACGGCCCTCGTCTG